AATTTCACTCTCTGGGCACCGGCATTGTTCAAATCTCGCGATCAGTCTGGTCCCTTTGCGAGATCAACACCCGTAACCCCAAGAACACGTGGACGGGGCTGGCATTTGAGGGGGGGGGGGCTTAGCCGCGAGGCTGCCTGGGCAAGGGGACCGAGGCTAACACAGGGTTCATGGGTGTGGAGCTGAGATTTCCGTGGTCCCGGCACTTCGTCCGCGGCTGGACACTGGTCTTTTCGAGGGGGAGTACCTAGTACCTGTTCTCGGCCGCGCGCTGTTGTCTAGGACTGTCCTGACACCCCCCTCTGAAATCAGGGGGCCTTTGTTCAAGCGTCGCTTTCTGGGCACCAGGCATGTTCAAATTTCACTCTCTGGGCACCGGCGTTGCTCAAATCTCGGGATCAGTACTGGCCCCTTTTTGAAAGCAACACTCTTATACCTCAAGAAAGACCTGGATCGGGCTGGCATGGGGCCATGTTGTCGGACTCCCCTGTACCCCCCTGACACCCCCTGGGACCTGGGGCAGCTCATCTGCCCAAAAGGCTTTGAAACTTCAATCATTGGACAGAAGTTTTTTGGAAGAAGGCAATTGACTTGAGTTTAGGCCTAAACCCTAAACGGAATGGGCTAGGGTGGTTTTGCCGCCTGAAACGGCGTGGGGTGAGATAATAGTGTTTATCGGGCCGCAGCTGCTCTTCGCATGTCGAGAAGCTTTCGAAGCTACTCTGTATCCCAACCTTCAAATGTCACAGCAAACCCAAACCCTAACCCCTAAATCCGAAACTCCAAATCCTAAACCCTAAACCCTAAACCCAAAACCCTAAACCCTAAACCCTAAACCTTACGGTGACTCTGCCAACGCCAGCTCCGACTCGGCGGGTGGCAAGGGCGCTACCGAGGGTCTTCCGTCTGGGCTTTTGAGACCGACCCGGTTTAGGGTTTAGGGCTTGAGGGCTTTAGGGCTTGGGGGCTTTGGGGCTTTAGGGTTTAGGGCTTAGGGCTTTAGGGCTTTAGGGCTTTATTGCATTTCGGCTTTAGGGCTTTAGGGTTTAGGGCCTTAGGGCATTTGGGCTTTAGGGCTTAGGGCTTGAGTGGCCATGAAGCTCAAGTATTCGGCGCCCACAAAAGCATGGGGTGAGCACACTGAAGTTGACCCCAGGAAGTACTCCTCTGGCTGATCTTAAGTACTAGCCCTCCACCCCGAACCCCCTAAACCCCCTAAAAGCCCTTAAACCCCTATAAACCCGAAAACCCCTAAACCCCTGAACCCCTAAAACCCCCTAGAAACCCGAAACCCCTAAACCCCCGAACCCCTAAACCCCGAAATCCCAAACTGGACAGGAAGAGGCGGAAGCCTCGCCAGACGAGGAGCTCAGGGCCCTTCTTGGAGATTTCAAGCTTGGAAGTATCCGGCGTAGGGTTTAGGGTTTAGGCTTTAGGGTTTAGGGTTTCGGGTTTAGGGTTTAGGGTGGGCTCACTCTTGGGGGGGGCTCGGTTTAGAGTCCAGGGTTCTCGGGCTTGGGGAGCTGGATGGAAATTGGGCGTCTCGGTTGCCTTCAATGCAATCCCTATTCCCTTTTGCCACAGCCAGGGACTGGGAATCTTCGGTTGCACTTTGCACCCAAACTCCACGAATGCCCGGAAGAGGCCCTAAACCCTAAACCCTAAACCCTAAGCCCCACAGGAAGAGGACCCTAAGCCCTAAGCCATGACCCGAGATCTAAGGCTGGAACCATGGGCGCCCTTGGTATGGTCCCTTGTTCTTCTTTGCAGGGGGGTTAAAGGGATCCGAAGTATGGTCCCTTGTGATATAGTGTAGATAGGGGTTATAAGACAGAGGACCCAAATTAACGGCCCATACTTCGGATCCCCTACTAGACCCTAGACCCTAGACCTTAGACCCTAGACCCTAGACCCTAAACCCAAAACCCTAAACCCTAAACCCTAAACCCTAAACCCTACCCTGAAGAGGACTCGGGCCCAGATGCCGACTCTTTCCGCGGAGACTTGCAGGCTCGGGAGTCCACAGCCGAGGGCTTAGGGAGGTTTAGGGTTTAGGATTTAGGGTTTAGGGTTTAGGGTTCAGGGTTCAGGGTTCAGGGTTCAGGGTTGCTGGTGGGTTAGGGGTTTAGGGCCTAGGGGTTTAGGGGTTAGGGGCTTTGGGTTTGGGGTGGTGTAGGGTTTTAGGGTTTAGGGTTTGCGGTGTAGGGTTTAGGGTTTGGGGTGTAGGTTTCGGGGTTTAGGATTAGCGGTTTAGGGTTCCATGGTTTGGAGTTGAGGGCGTAGGGTGTAGGGTTTGGGGTGTTGGGTGTGGGGTGTAGGGGTTTAGGCTGGTTTAGGGTTTGGGGGAGCCCTGTACTTCTTGCAAACCTGCAGAAACTTGCTTGAACCCCTAGACAGCCCTCGTACGCTCCAAAACCCCAAGGCGGAGAAGCGCAGATCGCTTAGCAGAGTTCGGCGAGCCCCCAGACCCCAAACCCTAAACCCCAAACCCTAAACCCCAAACCCTAAACCCCAAACCCCAAACCCTAAACCCCAAACCCTAAACCCCAAACCCTAAAACCCCAAACCCCAAACCCTAAACCCTAAACCCAAAACCCTAAACCCCAAACCCTAAACCCCAAACCCCAAACCCTAAACCCTAAACCGTCTAAATCCCAAACCCAAGAAGTCACAGGAAGCCCGGATGCACGCCCGAGAGCCCAAACACCCCTTGATTTCGCCATGGCCCCTCCCAAAAATCATCGGCATCCCGAAGCCCAGAACCCGAAAGGGTTTAGGATTTAGAGTTTAGGCTTTAGGGTTTAGGGTAACCATATCCCTTCACTTTAGCTGGCAACAGGTAATGGGCCTTAAGTGCTTGTGGGCTATGCTGCCGTGACAGCGTGGCGCGTAGGATGTACTGAATTTGGGAGTTTTTGTGTAAATGCACCACAGTGCCCGAGAATAATTATCATGGGCTGTGCTGTTCAGAGGGTGTGACGTTTAGGTGGCTCTAGCGAGAGTTCTTGCAAACTTCGGGTCGCGCCCTCATTGGTTCCCAGCCACACACAGTACTAGTACTCCGCAAGTGTCGGGCTGTGCGGGTGATCGGAACTTTTCCCCGAAAGCCTACACCCGAAGAATCCATTGCCCACAGGGGCATCTTAAAAGCACCGTTGGTGCAGGATCATTTCTGTAGATCATTTTCGCTGCTGTGAGCAACTGTGCCCAACAGAGTATATCGACAATGAACGCCTGCAACATAAATGCACCTCAACATTGGTCTAGTATTGACTGTGGTGCCCAGAAACCCTCAACCCCAATCCCAAAAAACGATATAAGGTCCATGTTACCTTGTTCAGATAGTACCATAGATGGGCCCCCTGGGGGTAGCTTCACGCAGGTCAACTCTCATCCTACCTCAAGTACCCCGAAAGACCCAGATCTTTGTAGGTCGTCCAAATTGTACCCCTTAGGCTATCTTCGTTAGCCTGCCAAAAACACAAAAAAGCAGGCGGGTTCTTCAGGGAACGCTTACTCCCATGGGGCCTTCAACCTAAACCCTAAACCCTAAACCCCAAACCCTAAACCCTAAACCCTAAACCCTAAACCCTAGAGTCTGCCAGGGCTGCATCCACGCCACGACCTTTGCAGCTCGACACGACCGCGAGGGGGGGGAGGTGTCATACAGTGACTAGGCTTTAGGGCCAAGTTGAGGGCTTGGGGTTCAGGAGTTTAAGGCTTGGGGTTCAGGCAGGGTTTAGGGTTTAGGGTTTAGGGTTTAGGGTTTCGGGTTTCGGGTTTCGGGTTTCGGGTTTCGGGTCTCGGGTAGGGTCTAGGAGGGCCTAGTAGGATTTAGGGTTTGGGGCTCAGGCCAACCCCAACTTTCCTCTCCTCCTTCTTTGGGGAGCTGGGGTCCTGAAGCCCTCAATCCTAACCCGGGAACCCTGGGCCTTGCATTGCTAGCAAGGTCCGAAAGCTCCGCTCAGATGGCTTCAAACCCACTGGCGAAATCCAAGGCTTGGGCGGCGTGGGCTTATACCCTAAGCCCCTAAACCCTAAACCCTAAACCCTAAACCCTAAACCCTAGTGACTTGGGTTACAGTAAGGGATGACCAGGAACCGGAAACCCGATATGTGGCCAGAGAAGAAGACCCCCCTCCCACCCCCAAGCGTTGGCCTAAAGGCTCCGGGACTGTAGTCGTGTAATTGGGGTTGGTCTGAACCCTAAATCCTGAAGCCCTGAACCCTAAACCCTGAACACCTGAACCCTAAACCCTGAACCCACATGAGGGTTCAAGTTTTAACTTGGAGCCTTTAATTAAAGGTTCGTCTGACATCTAGGGTTCCCTTTTGCTCACCTTGCTCTGCGCTGGGTTTGGGGTTTGGGGCTTGGGGTTTGGGGTTTAGGGTTTAGGGTTTAGGGTGCAATCCCGATTTTCCAAGCTCCAGGGACGCGCCTGTTTCGGATCTTGGACGCTGACCGCGACGGGGTGTTGTCGAAGAAGGCCCGGTTGAGGGATTTGGCTAAACCCACCCTAAACCCTAAACCCTAAACCCTAAACCCGGGTTAAGGGCATAGTGTGGCTTTGGGCTTCGTGTGGCCTTGGGGCTTAGTGTCGCTTGGGGTGTAATCTGCCCCAACTCAGCACGTTTAGAGGCTTGAGGGCTGAGGGTTTAGGGTTGAGGGTTTAAGGTTAAGGATTCAGGGCTGAGGGTTTTTCGAATTAGGGTTGATTATTGGGCTCAGGGTTTATTGACATTTGTGTAGGGTCTGGGGGGTTTAGGGCTTTGCTTTCTTGTCCCCACCTGCAAAACTCATGGTGGGGCCTCACGGGCGCGAGGGTGACCGACCACGCCCGCCTGCGAGGGCGGGGCATATGAGCCTGAAAAGACCTGCGTGTTGGGGGTGCGCGCGGCGCCGTTTGCTCCTGCTTTGTGGCGTTGGGCTCGTGAGTGGCTCGTGCTCTGAACTCGGGACCCTCTGCCCACCCTCAGCTGGTCTGGCTGTTGCTGCTCCCATGGCCCCTGAGGCCCTGACACGACAAATGAACCCTCTAGAATCGGAGTCATGTACCACAAATATTCATATGTTAAGCAAGTCCCACAAAAGCATATGACTCGTAATCCGGTCCCCCTGGATGAATCCATGATCTAGACATAATCTAAACCCATACCCTAAACCCTCGACCCCAGACCCTAAAGACTAAACCTTAACCCCAAACCCTGCTTCGCCGCTTCAAGGACTTTGCCTTCTTGGATCTGGACTTGGTCACGCCCCAAGAGCTGGACGAGGCCGGCAGGACTCACCACTAGCTACAGTGAAGTTGGGGGGGGCTTGGGGGGGGCCTGCGGGGGGCTTGGAGGGCTTGGGGGGGGGGGGACCTACGAAGTAAGGGGTAGCTGCACAGGCTCAAAGGCAGAGTTTTTAGGGTTCAGGGGCTAAGCCTTAAGGCAGTTTTTGAGTAGGGGTTTGAGGTGTTTCCAGGCTTTGGCGGGCTTACCTAGGGTTTTGAGAAACACTGCGGGGTATGCGCAGGGGTTTTGGAGTGGTAGAACCCCAGGCAGCCTTGTTTCCTTGTTCAGGCAAGTTGGCAAACTCAGGAATCATACTGCGACCTGAACTCGAAACCGGGGGCTTTCATGCCGTAGACCCTCCCCCAAAAAAATAAATACCCTAAGAACCCGAAAAGGAGCGAATCCCTCAACAGCATGGATCCTTGCAGTCCCGTGGGAGGCTCTCTCTGCTAGCGCGCGAGATCTGCGCGCTGCGCGCGCTCACACACTCGCGCGCTCGAAGAAAGGCCATCGGCATGCTCTTGCGCCGGCACCAGATGCTTCCGGACGTCGTGGCGCGCGACCTGGACCCTTGGCCTGGTGTAGGGTGTAGGGTGTATAGGGTTTTGGGTTTAGGGTTTAGGGTACCGCAAACAATTAACACCCTCCCTTAGAGAGTGGCTCAGGAGGGAGTGGGGGGTTTTTGGGAGGCGTTGGGGGGTGGGGGGGGTTTAGGGTTTAGGGGGCAGGGCAGACTTGCCTCAGATACTGTCAAGGTCAAGCAAAAGCAAAACGAGTTTAGGGTTTAGGGTTTAGGGTTTAGGGTTTAGGGTTTAGGGTTTAGGGTTTAGGGTTTAGGGTTTAGGGTTTAGGGTTTAGGGTTTAGGGCTCCTGCGGAGGGGGGGTTTGGGGGTGCAGGAAAGCACCAAACTCTGTAGGAGAGGTGGGGGTACCTGCTTTACCCCTGAGGCTCAGAGGATTGAGGAATCGACCCCCTTCAATCTAAACCCTAAACCCTAAACCCTAAACCCTAAACCCTAAACCCTAAACCCTAAACCCTAAACCCTAAACCCTAAACCCTAAACCCTAAACCCCCCACCCCCCCAAAAGCCCCCCCTGAACTAAGGAACCTATTGAGTCTGCTCAGCTTAAACAGCTACTTCTCGGAATCGCTCCCTTGAATCTGATTTTCGAATCCCTACGAAAATGGTGCGTTCCTTGTAGAGTCCAGGGTTTCGGGTTTAGGGGTTCAGGGTTTGGGGTTTTAGGGGTTGGGGGGTTTGGGATGTTTCCCCTTATACTAACAAGAGTACAGTGCCCCCGACTAGAATCCCTATCACGGACTGTTGGCAGCATAAGGGGTTAACATCCAAAGTTGGGCGCACGATCAGACTGAACCCCTAACCCCTAAATCTTTCACCCCAAACCCTAAACCCTAAACCCTAACTTCAAAACCCTAAACCCTAAACCCCTAAACCCCTAAACCCCTGAACCCCTGAACCCTGAACCCTGAACCCCCCCCCCCTCCCCCCGCAAACAAAACGAAAAAACAACAGCTAAACATCCTCCAAGCCTAAACCCTTTAACTGAACACACAGCCTCCCCAAGCCTTTGTGCCTTTAGACCCCTCAAGCCCATCGACACGCTTCGAAGCCCAGTCGCCCTAAACCCTAAACCCCAAACCCTAAACCCCAAACCCCAAACCCCAAACCCTAAACCCTAAACCCCAAACCCTAGACCCTAAACCCTAAACCCCAAACCCTAAACCCCAAACCCTAAACCCTAAACCCCAAACTAGCCCCCCAGGCTGGCCACAGCCCTCAGATTCACCTCAAGCGCGTCGTCGAGTGCATGGTCATTGCGGGCGCACCTCGCCGTGGACTAGAGGGGTCGGATAGGGTTTAGGGTTTAGGGTTTAGGGTTTAGGGTTTGGGGTTTGGGGTTTAGGGTTTAGGGTTTAGGGTTTAGAGTTTGTTAATGGTATTCCCTTATGGTCCCTATATAAATATACTACAAGGAACCCCTCCCCCCAAAAAAAAACCCTCTTCGAAGTATTCTTCGCAGCTTTGGGTGGGTTTAGGGCTTAGGGTTCAGCCCCCGAGGCCCTTTCCTGGATAGCAAGTTGTAAACTATTGTCGTAGTTTTCCCCCGTTGCTGAATCAGAAACAATAAGCTCGTTCAGCCTTGCTGAACTCATAATTACCCAGAGTTACAATAGCCGTAGGAGGAGAACGGCATCTTGGGTCTGGAGCCATGAACGCGAGCGTTAGAGATGTGACCGTACTTTTGATGCATGGAGCTTTCTGTAGGAGAATTCAGTTGACAAGGACCACATTTGAGATACCTGCACCTCATCTCTCTTCTTGCTTTTCATTTGGTGGTTTCCGAGATTCGGGGTACCCGATTGGGGTCCGTACTACAAGGGAAGCCTACTATTTAAGGGGGGTCTATTTTCGGGGTAAGCGTTTAGGATTTAGGGTTTAGGGTTTAGGGTTTAGGGTTTAGGGTTTAGGGTTTAGGGTTCAGCGTCTCACTCAACCGCTTTTCCCTCAGAAATCGGCCCGCTTCTTCCACACTTGGACTCGGCACGCGCAGCGGCTCGGGGCCCCAAGAAGGGAGTCGTAGCCCAAAATTCGAGATGGCTGATATGTGGGGGTTTCCGAAAATGGGGGACCCCCAATATAGATCCCCCAAAGAGCAAGGATCCCCTTTAACAATGTGGATCCCATTACAAGGTACCTCGAATTTCGGAAACCCCCATGTCATTTTTGCTGAGCGTACTTCTGTTAGCATGGCTCGGATGCGCAAGCAACGCGGGCAACGGCTCCAGCACGGAGGTCTGTGAAAGCGGCGCGAACGTGTTGCTTCAAACTGCTCCAAACCAGCGCTCGGCGAAACACTCGCCAAGAGCTGGCACGAATGCAGGTCTTGCTGCAAGCACTGCAAACACGTCGACGGCGAGCAAGCAGGTGCTTGTACCACAGGACGAAGAGGTGCATCGACTTTGGCATGCGGTTGGGAAGTTTCTCCTGATCAAGAGAGCTGACAATGGCAGCGGGCATGCTCAGAGTGTCAAGATACCAGGATGCCCAGTAGTACCCTTATTCCCTTTTTGGGGGGTTTGGGTTCCCTTACCCCTTAACCAAAAAAAAGGGCACCCCTTTTTCAGGCTAGGTTACTGGGGCAGCCTAGGATACCTCGCATCCTCGCGAAGATGAGCAAGTGCTGTGTTGTCTTCGTGTACATCCTCTTCTCCATGCTGTGCGGCCGCTTCTGCTTGCTTGGTGTTCCAAAGCAGCCCCAGGAGTCTCAACCTCTGCGGGGCTGTCCGAGGAGCTGCTTGGTCATAGTTGGGGGGTAACATTTTTTTTTTTACATTTTTTAAAGGGTACCTTAAACCCAAGAAGGAACATCAATTACAATTTGTAAGGTAACGTTTTAGATTTTTAAGGGTACTTAAACCCAAGAAGGAACATAAATTTAATTTATTCAATACGATCCCAACCATGAGCTAGGCTGGCTGATTTATGTGGGATGTGTGTACGCCTGCATCTATGCTACTCGGAGAAGGCCTTTTTGGGTGACATTTTTCTACCTATTTGTTTTTCCCCCTTTTGTGGGGGGTTGAAGAGGATCATATATTCAGGAGTACTATTCTGCCTGTTTCCCTTTTTGGGGTTTCTCAGAGGATCATACTAATTCAGGACTACGATTTTCAGAGGGTTCTTTTCTTCAGGGCCACTCCGAGGTTAGCACAGACCAGTACGTGCCGAGTTTGCCGCAGATGGAGGCAGATCTCGAAGGTTCGCCGACCTTGATGTGTGGTACGGTTCAGCTGAGCCTCAGTCGCTGTCATGTGGTACCACTTTATGCACTTTTTAAGGGGATGCTCTATAATCCCCTATGGAATTCTGAAAGTGTACGCCTTTTAATTTTGGGGGGGGGGGGGGGGGGGGGGGGGGGGGGGGGGGGGGGGGGGGGGTGATGAAGTCAGCAACAAAGAAAGGAACCTGGTGGTGAAGTCCATCTTTGGGCTGTTGGCTGCAGGTTTGTCTGACTGCATCGGTCGCCGGCCGGTCGTCTTGCCATGCCTTGTTTCTTTGTTACAGTTGGGTAACATTTTACATTTTTTAAGGGTACTTAAACCCAATAAGGAATAACAATTCTAATTTTTAATATTATCCCAACAATGAGCAAGGTTTTGCTGAGTCTCGCTAGCTTGTGCTGCGCATCCGCTGGGCAGATCGAAGGCTTCTTCGCTGCTCACATTCTGCAAGGCATCGTTGTCATAGTTGGGGTAACATGTTACATGTGTAAGGGTACTTAAACTCAATGAGGAGTAGAATTTTCACCTTTGAATACTATCCCAACCATGTAGCCAGGCATGGGGGAATCAGTCGAGCCGGTCTTGTTTGCAATGGCTCGAGATTACTTCTCCAACCCGAACGAGCGCTTCACTTTCGTGGTGGCTTTGGAGATGATGGCCATTATTGGTACCGCCGTTGCCCCTCTGTACGGAGGACTCTGTGCAGCCTACCTCAACTGGCGCCTCTCATTCCTGGGCATGGCTGTTGTCTGGGCATTGCTGGCAGCATACGCCTTCTGGGCCATGGTGGAATCCCGCCCCGAGGGCAGCAACGAGAGCTACCTGCGCAACGCGGCGCGCATCTTTGATCCACAGCTTCTTTGCCTGCTGCTGACCGAGAGTTGGATTTTGGGGCAGTATTTCATGTTCAACACCAACGTCAGCTACTTGATGGAGGTTAGCTTCGGCCGATCTACCATGGCAACCTCATTCGTCATGCTTGTCTTTGGGGTTGTGTGTGGACTTGGTGGCCTCTTGATACAGCGAGTCGAGCTCGGCAGCGTCCTCCGTTTGGGGCAAGTGACCGTGTCCCTCCTGGGGCTCTTTGGGACTATCTCGATGGTGCTGGGACTCTACCTCTCTGACTATCTCTGGTGCTACCTGGTGGTCTCCTTTCTGCAGGGGAGCGTGCTCTTGATGGCCTGGACTTCCGTGAGCGTCTTGTTCATGCAACCTTTGGAAGACTCTCATGTCCCCTTTGGAATGAGTTTTTGTTGTTTTTTTGTTCATATAAAACCGAAGAGGATCTTGCAAACATACAAAACCCTAAGCGGCCCTAAACCCTAAACCCTAAACCTTAACCCTGAACCCTGAACCCTGAACCCTGAACCCTAAACCCTAAACGCTAAACCCAAGAGGATCTTACACAAACATTGTCTTTGTTAAGGTTCTATAAGGGGAGTGTAGGACTGTGCCGGCATGGCCTCATCTTTCGAGACCGTGGCGGAGAGCGTTCCCCCAGCCATTCTCTCCGCAATTGCCACGCAGTCTATGATTCAGGTGGGGGGTTTACGAAAGTAAGTTTAGGGTGTAGGGTTTCGGGTTTAGGGTTTAGGGTTTCGGGTTTAGGGTTTAGGGTTTTGGGTTTAGGATTCCCTTGCAATAAGGACCCCAATAAGGTACTAATCTCGGAAGCCCCAAGGTGGGACCGGAGGGGCTGACCATGTGGCAGGCAGGTACCTGCATTGCCGGCGGGATCGTATCTTTGTCATAGTTGGGTAACATTTTGCATTTTTGAGGGTACTTAAACCCCTAAACCCTAAACCCTGAACCCTAAACCCAACAAGGAATATAAAAGTATTATTGTTAATAGTCTCCCAACCATGAACTGAACTAGGTATTCTGGCTGGGTTTTGGTTGGAATCCCCCTTCGTGGGCTCTGGCTCTGGAGGAAGCCTCAGAGTCACGCTAGGGCTGGGTTTAGGGTTTAGGGTTTAGGGTTTAGGGTTTTAGGGTTTAGGGTTTTAGGGTTTTAGGGTTTTAGGGTTTTAGGGTTTTAGGGTTTTAGGGTTTTAGGGTTTTAGGGTTTTAGGGTTTTAGGGTTTCAGGGTTTAGGGTTGAGGGTTGAGGGTTTAGGGTTGAGGGTTGAGGGTTTAGGACCCCCTTTCCGTTTTCGTTTGGCGTCTATAAGCGTTTGGGGTTACACACACCCCAAACCCTGTTTCTTGACGTTTTGCATTTGAAGGCTCCAAAACTTTAGATGCTTTGCGCACTCAGTACATATGTCATGCCCGCCTCACAAGCAGGGGCAACATCCCCCACCTGCCGGCAGGACCGTTTGCAGTTACGAGTGTTGTTCTTTTGTTACGCCTCCCTCTGTGCAGATGGAGAAAATGATGGGGTCTCGGGCCCCAAAGGAGGTAAGCAACCCAATGCTCCTGAACCCTAAACCCAAACCCTAACCCCCCCCCCACCCCCCCCCCGGGTAGCGACAAGACTCCCAAACCTTCTCTAGCGCGCTGCTCTTCGGTTAGGGGTCGCGGTTTAGGGTTTTTGGTTTGGTAGGTTAGAGTTGATTGTTTAATATTTAGGGTTTCGGGTCTAGGGTTGAGGGTTTAGGGTTTTCAATTGATGAAGACTCGTACCCCTAAGGATGTGCCCCTAAAGGTTTTCCTGAATATACTCCTAATATGGCCCTCATATTCCTTCGGGATCCTTTAGCAGGGACCAAGACTCAAGGGTACAACCTTAAGGGTCCAAGGTAGAACCCCTAGAGCTTTAGGGTTTAGGGTTTAGGGTTTAGGGTTTAGGGTTTACTGTTATGGGGTTTACTGTTCCCCTTCTTGGACCCCCCGGCTCGCATACCATGACCCAGGCGGGACCCCCTTCAATTCCCTTTTTACAGGGGCTCAGGTTGAGTGATCTTCGAAAACCGGATACTATCTTTTGGAATTTAGAATTTAGGGTTTCTGGGGTTTAGGGTTTCTGGCGTTTAGGGTTTAGGGTTTAGGGTTTAGGGTTTAGGGTTTAGGGTTTAGGGTTTAGGGTTTAGGGGTTGCAACAGTCAGGTTGGTTGATCTTCGAAAACCTTCTTAACGAACACAGGTGCCATGTTTTCCTTGCAGCTGAGGTCGAGGAGGTGATTGCAAAGCCGGTGGCTGCTTGGCCATGAGTTTAGGGTTTAGGGTTTAGGGTTTAGGGTTTAGGGTTTATAAGGTCTAGGGTTTAGGGTTTATGGTGCCGAGGCCGTGCCCCGCACCTATCCAGAACCCAGGGTTTAGGGTTTGGGGTTTGGGCTTCATAAACCCTTAAGCCCCTCCATACTTAGGGTTCAGGGCTTAGGGTTTAGGGTTTATACACCCTTAAAAACCCTCTATGCTGAGGGCCTGTGTGCCATTTTGTGCCTTTCTCTGTTACGATCCTACGTTAGAGGGTGTCTCAAGATTGCGGGCCCGAGCGTGGCCCTCCATGCGGGCCGGACCCTGCCTGGTACCAAAGCCAAGAGTGACCCTAACCCCAAAACCCAAAACCCTCAACCCTCAACCCTCAACCCTCAACCCTCAACCCTCAACCCTCAACCCTCAACCCTCAACCCTCAACCCAAACCCTAAACCCTAAACCCTAAACCCTAAACCCTAAACCCTAAACCCTAAACCCTAAACCCTAAACCCTAAACCCTAAACCCTAAACCCTAAACCCTAAACCCTAAACCTAACCCTAAACCCTAAACCCTAAACCCTAAACCCTAAACCCTAAACCCTAAACCCTAAACCCTAAACCCTAAACCCTAAACCCTAAACCCTAAACCCTAAACCCTAAACCCTAAACCCTAAACCCTAAACCCTAAACCCAGCCTAGACCCTAAACCCTAAACCCAGCCTAGACCCTAAACCCTAAACCCTAAACCCTCTACATCCCTTTACCCTTTAAAGTTTAGGGTTCCGGGTTTAGCTAAACCCTACTAACGCTAAAGAAGCCTAGAGAGCCTCTAGAATAGAGACCCCTATGCAAGGGTTTGGGGCTCTGAGGGTTCAGCAGAGGCAAGAGGGCGTTTGATCCCTGTATTTCTTTTGGGGCTCGGGGTTTAGGGATCAGGATTTCAGGGTTAGGGGTTAGGGTTTAGAGTGTGGGGTGCAGGGTTTAGGGTTAAGGGTTAAGGGTTTAGGGAGCTAAGGCCCAAGTGATCGCCTACTGTACGAAGGCCATTTGGAGCGTGCCCCTCGGCCTCGAACTGTGGGTGGTTTAGTCATGGGTTCCCTTACTACCCCTATCTATGCTACCCCTTTTGCTAGGTTCCCCGTAAAATTAAGGCTACCGGGGGATAATTAAGCTTAATTAAGGTTATTCAAGGGGAGAACCTCGGGAGGAGTAGCCCTAAACCTAAACCCTGAACCCTAAGTCCTAGTACAGAGGGGGTAGCAGGGAAACCCATGATTTAGGGTTCAGGGTACAGGTTTCGGGTGGGGTTTAGGCTTTTCAGTTTGGGCTGGAGGGTTTAGCCTCCTACCAGTTTGGACTTTGTTTGAGATATTCTTGAGGGCGTAGGCTTACTTTGGGGTATTTGGGTTTAACCCTAAACCATAAACCCTAAACCCTTGTGAAACTACACCTAGTTTAGACCCGGCAAATAAGCACCGAGGTCGTATCTCCTAGTTTAATTGCCCTGGTGACTTTCTCGCAGGCCTTGGGCGCTGCGCTAAGCCGGCAAGCCGAAAATCGGGCTACGCAGTGACCGCCCCCGGCGCTCCTCCAAAGTGGTAGCGGAGCACCACCTCGTCCACTAGGACGACGGTCGGCTGTGAAGCACCGGGGACAGGGCGGTCTGTCTCACCAAATCGTCTGATTAAGTCACCCTCAAGGCCGTAGCCAGGTAAGGGTAAGCTCCGTGTTCTTTTTCCTTCCAACCTGAGCCATGTCTGTCGCAGGACTCCGGTGTAGCCCGGATGAGACGTATCTCCTACATCTTTTCCGGCACAGCGGCTTTCACGATTTCAAACTTCAGGACCCAAGCTCGTGTCTTACAACACCGCGAACGAATGAAACGCGAGATCGCCAAAGATCTGCAAACTGCCCGCATGCCGAATGGCAGAGGCAGGGGTAGATGTGCTGGTACATTCCGGAAAGGCCGAGAACTCGGAAGGGCCCTTTGGCCAACACCCAAGCCCAGGGCGATACTGCCCAAGCTTTAGGACAGTCAGGCGAGGTAGGAGCAGAACGTAAATCGAGGAACACAGCAGTGTCGCAGGTGACGAACCATCGATCGGCAAGACGATGCTTGCCAGTTTCGCTCGCGATATTGGGCTAGAGAGCCTAAGCAAATACGATGGCATAGAACACCTGATTGAGGCCACCCAGAGGCAAGTTTTCCCGCTGCAAAGCGAGGAGGCCTCAGAACTCTTTCGAGTTGGCCAACAAGAGGATGGTCCCCTCTCACGGCAGAGTGATGAGACCATGCTCTCCTACATGAATCGTAGGAAGAGATGGTGGGTCACGTTGCGAGAGCTCGACCCCAGTCTTTCCATCTCAGAGCCAATGAGAGCCAACCTATTGGTTGAACTAGGACTGAGAAAGTCCGAGCAGCTGATGGTAAAGACCGCTGCGGACTTTCTCGCAGGCCTTGGGCCCGAAGCCGGCAAGCCGAAAATCGTGCTACGCAGTAACCGCCCCCTGCGCTCCTCCAAGACCCTAAACCCTTAACCCGCTGTTTGGTGTGTTAGGGATTCCATTACTCTGGGCTTCATAGGTCTTTTTAGGGCTTTAGGGCTTTAGGGCTTATAGGGCTGTAGGTTTTGGGTTTGGGGTTCAGAGTTTCGGGTGGCTTCTCCGGTGCATCAGAGTTTGTTCAGGGGGGTTAGGCTTTTCGCGTTTAGGGTTCAGAACTCGAGGGGCTATAATGTTGCACATAGGGTTTTAGCGTTTTAGGGCTTAGAGTTTTAGGGTTCAGGGTTTAGGGCTTCTGAGCCGTCGTGTTGAAAGCCCTGAGCCCTAGAATGCCGGACCCTTCTAGAAGGGGCCCTTGATCTTATTCCCCCCATATAGCCCCTGCAGAACCCCTATACATGGTTCCGTCGCCGTCCCCCCACCTCCCCCCCCTCCCCCGCATGGTATCACCCCGAAACGCTAGGGGGGAGAGGGACTGCACGGGCGACACTACAAAATTATTGTAGTCCCTATGTGCCCTTTACTCCCCAGAATCCGTGATAACTTAGTCGTGTGGGGCTCAAGGGGGCCGCAAGGGGGCCGAGGCGGCCTGTTGGTTGAATTGGTGGAGAGGCTTTAGTTTTTCAGGGTTGGGGTGTAGGGCTTCAGGATTTAATTTAGGTAGTTTTATGGATTTAGGGATTTAGAACGGTCGCAGCGACGGCACAAACTGGGGCATCCAGCCCGTACTGGGGGCCTTTGGCACACACTGGAAGCATGATCTTCCCATTGTTCCCTTGGCGGTGTTCACTGCACAGTACCCAGGGACTCCAATACCCCGTAATTAAGGAATATTCCTTATATCATAATTGGCTTCCTTACATGGTTTCAGGGATTTTCCTCAAGTAAGGGGTATTGGAGTCTCTGGGGAGATGTAAACGACAGACACGCCAAACTTGTTGAGGCTCCTTGGGCATCCAGATGCTTGCCGGCTGGCGTACCGTGGCTAGAAATGGAGGTTTTCGAGGAACGTGTGTTTTTTGTTGCTCGGCCAGCTCCTTTCCTTTTTCCTTTTTTTGTTCGGCCAGCCGCGTGGAAAAAAAACACTCTTACCAGGCTTACGACAATAGGGTTTAGGGTTTTAGGGTTTGGGGGTACCTTCTTGGGGTCCTTATTATAAGGGAACCCTACTATGTGGGGTCTGTTTATTTTCGTAAACCCCACACAGAGGCCTGGGGTTTAGGTTCTACTAGTAGGGTTTAGGGTTTAGGGTTTAGGGTCTAGGGTTTAGGGTTTAGGGTTCAGGGTTTAGGGTTTAGGGTTCAGGGCTTA